CAGGTAATTAATTTTCTAATTGGTTTCACATTTTGATTTTGACATTGGCTCACTTCCATCACTTTTGGTGTTTGGTGTGCGCTTTTTCAATTTCCTTACAACGATTGATGGTTTAATTAATTTCACATTTTGATTGAGTAATTCTAAAGGGGGGACAATTTTTCAAACTTGATGAGATCTAGTCATTTGTTGTTAATTAATGGTCCGCTGATATAACATGAAAATGTGGCCTTTCTAACATTACTTTCCTTGTTTTGACAGATACCTAACCATCGCTATATTTGCCGCCATCCAAGCAATGGTAAACTCACCTTACATCATTATTAAAATTAATACGCAATTACATATCTTATGCAAGTTGGATTCTTACTTTTTTCTCCTCTCTAATTCTATAAAGAAAAAAAATGATTTAATTCAGATATAATTATTTGGTTAAATTCATTAGTTTGGGGAACTTGCTCTCTAGTACAACAACACAAAAGCCATTTGGATGTGATGGACACACTATTAATGGTGATATTAATTCATGTATTATAATATAAGTGAACAACTTGATTGATATGTCATAAATTTTAGAATATAATATCAATAAATACATAAGATATTATAACATAAGTGGATTAGTAACATTACGTCAGATTCATACCAAAGAATTTCTCACAAGCACTCGCTTTCTACCTTACTTCTTTGCTTGTCAAATTCTTTTTCCTTTCTTAATTACTTGTTTTGGTTAATAGGGTGTCACAATATTGACAATCTCAACCACAGTCCCCAGCCTCCGACCCCCAAAATGCACCGCGGACACCGGCACACCTTGCATCCCAGCAAGCGGCAAGCAACTCATGGTTCTCTACATAGCCCTCTACCTGACAGCCCTGGGCACCGGCGGCCTAAAATCGAGCGTTTCAGGCTTCGGCTCAGACCAATTTGATGAGTCAGACAAACAAGAAAGAAGACAAATGACAAACTTCTTCAACTGGTTCTTCTTCTTCATAAGCATAGGCTCACTTGCCGCAGTCACCGTTCTTGTCTACATACAAGACAACTTGGGGAGGCGATGGGGCTATGGAATATGCGTCTGTGCCATTGTGCTTGGCCTCATTGTGTTCTTGTCAGGAACAAGACGGTACCGTTTCAAGAAACTGGTGGGCAGCCCTTTGACTCAGATATCGGGGGTGTTTGTGGCGGCGTGGAGGAAGAGGAACATGGAGTTGCCCTCCGACATGTCGTTTTTGTACAACGTTGATGACATTGATGATGAACTCAAGAAGAAGAAGAAGCAGAAGTTGCCTCATAGCAAGCAGTTCCGGTTAGTGTTTTACTCATCCTAATTCCTACGTTAACTACTTTAACTGCAACTACTGTTTATTTATTTATTTATTTTTTTAATTATAGTTTAATTGGCATTCATTTAAAAACTCACTCGACCATATACAACAATAACGCTAGAGTCATCAACGTATTTATTTGCACATCAACCTTTTTCCAGGGCCATAGTCAATTTTTAGGTAGAGAGTGTGACAAAGCAGGGGGAGGCTTATCTGTTTTATTTTTTCGTTTTCATAATTGATTTGTAGCCTTGAATATATACGCAAAAATCAATCGAAGATAGGCAGGGTGATTTTATTTTATTTTTCCCAAACTAGATACATATTAAATTATAGATTTATTCTCTCATGTTAAATACATGTGGTGGTGTGGTGGTGTATATAAAATTTAATTTAATTTGATTTAGAAATTAAGAATGAAAAGCATATATTCACGAGGGTTGGGGCCAGACTGTCCTGGAAATCGGTCATCACGCTTCTTGTCTTGGACTTGGATGATTGAATCTTCTTAGTTATCACCTACCCCCAGCAATATGAAAATGATATGAGCCTGCCTGCTTGCCTTGCTTGCTCCATCAGTCACGGACACACTTGCTTATGTATTCCACTGCATCTGCCTCTGCATCTTTGGCCACATACTCTATTATTTCTAAAGCACCCACTTTTTCAAATATTTTCCTCTATATATATATACACTACCTTCGACCACACTTGTCTCGCAAACTGGCACAAAAGAACAAATCCCTGAAACTACAAAAACAAAAATCATCATGTGACTCACAAGGTTTCCCTTTGTGCCTCTTCACATGACCATGTTTCTAAAATGATGTGTTATTATTGGGAAATGTTGCCTCTCTTTCTTTATTTTTTGTTTTTCCTAAAGTTCCTACGTATGTATGCACCTAGAAAAATGGTTGTTTTCATTTTGAACTTAAAGAACATGTGTCTGCTTGACAACTTGAAAGTTCTCACTTGATAAAGTTTAACTAGACGTTTTCTGCTGCTCAACATGTCACATGACGTAAAAGTTCCCACTTTATAAAGTTTAAATGGACAGTACCTACTACTCAACCTGTCACATGACATGAAAGTTCCCAACGAAAGTCATTCTCAAACTAATAAGAGAACTATGCTAAGACAAAAACATGATCACTACGTCATCCATGGAAATGAAACTAATTTGTTGGTTTCTTCTTGTGCAGTTTCTTGGATAAGGCAGCAATCAAGGACCCCAAAACAACAAGCGGTACAACCATGATCATAAACAAGTGGAGCTTATCAACCCTAACCGATGTTGAAGAAGTAAAATTGATTATCAGAATGTTGCCAATTTGGGCCACCACAATCATGTTTTGGACTGTCTACGCTCAAATGACCACATTCTCAGTGTCACAAGCAACCTCCATGGACCGCCACATTGGAAAATCATTTCAAATCCCACCTGCCTCCCTCACAGCTTTCTTTGTAGGCAGCATTCTCTTGACAGTCCCAGTATACGACCGGCTCATCGTCCCCATTGCAAGAAAAGCCCTAAAAAATCCACAAGGACTAACCCCATTACAACGCATAGGGGTTGGCCTAGTTTTCTCAATCTTTGCAATGGTAGCAGCAGCTCTCACAGAAGTCAAGCGCTTGAACACCGCAAGATCACATGGCTTGACCGACAATCCAACGGCTGAGATCCCACTAAGTGTTTTCTGGCTGGTCCCACAGTTTTTCTTTGTGGGGTCTGGGGAGGCCTTCACATATATTGGGCAGCTTGACTTCTTCCTCAGGGAGTGCCCTAAGGGGATGAAGACTATGAGCACAGGCTTGTTCTTGAGCACTCTTTCATTGGGGTTCTTCTTTAGCTCTCTATTGGTCACTATTGTGCATAAGATTACAGGGCACAGTAAGCCATGGCTGGCAGACAATCTCAACCAAGGGAAGCTTTATGATTTCTATTGGCTTTTGGCACTTCTGAGTGCTTTGAATTTGGTGATCTATTTGTTTTGTGCCAATTGGTATGTTTACAAGGACAAGAGGCTTGCTGAGGAGGGCATAGAATTGGAGGAATCAGATATTTGTGCCCATGCATAATTATCTGGTTTTTATCCTCTTTTTTTTTAATCCTTTTTTATTTAACCTAAGCTTGTAATCTTTTATGTACAAAAAGAAAGAAAATAAGAAATGAAGACTCATTAAAGCTTGTTAATGATCACACCATTTTCTTTCACAAGTCTTAAAATCTAGTTTGAATATATATATATATATATATATAATTTTAAAAAAATAAAAAATATTTAAAATATTATATAATAAAAAGACAGAACCATCAAGGCAATGCAGGGGACATTACTACCATTATTTTGGATCAAATTGATGTGATGTCCCTTAACTTATATAGAGATCGCATTATCAATTGCGATATAATATGATCAAAGCATAACAATGTCAATAATACATACCATGCAAAACCGTGGGCAACACGTCTCTGTCTCGAGCCTGGGAGGCATCCTTGTCTAAGCCACATCATTTATCCAAATGATTCAACTCCATTCGATTAGGGCCCAGTTCCAACTCAACTCCATTCAAAATCACTATTTCAAAGTTCTAATAACAAAGTAACTATAAAAAGTAAATTAAAGGTTAATCACAATTATGATCAATCTTAAGTTATTTTTCACTTCCGAATGAGAGTTAAGTTAGTTAGTCCAAAGCAGTGTGCCCGTCTCTTGCACCCAAGATGAAACCCCCTCCCTCTACAGTAGAATCTTTAGAACATCGTCTTGTCACTTTGGTATCTGTTGGTTTATGTGCACAGCTATCACGCATATAGTTCTTTAACTTTTAATTATATTATTATACATTACCTCCTCGCTCAATTCTAATCTCTTACCCATCTTCCTCTCTGCTTTTTAAAATTTTTCCAAAAACGAAGTAACAGGCCATTAGAGTAATGTACAAGAAAAAATCCAGAAACTTTGGTACATTAGCTTTCAAACTGAAATCAAATTACAGGTATTTTATCACATAACTCAAGTTGATGAGTTTGCGTATCAATATCACAAAGAATTCGAACTGAGATTCAGTTTAATCCTCACCGAATTCAAATCGATGAAGTTCGTAGCAAGAACACTTGTATAATAATTGCCAGACCAAAGCTATTACATAACTGAATGATGACAAATTACATTTTTCTTTTTATTACTAAAGAAAATACAAATAAATATGAAAATGCTTAACCAATGGTTAGCACCCAAAGAAGAGAAAGATAAACAAACTACAACATATGTGAGAGTGAGAAAAGGAGAGAGATTAGATAAGTAAACTAATATCCCATGACACTGACAATGATAACATTACAAGGATACATAAGACTACAATCTAACCATCATCAACTTACAGTCAAAGGCGAGAGAGAATTCTTCTTTAAAATGTCCAGGAGGATATCTGCTATCAACTTGACGACCAAACTCTTGAACAAATACACCAACTCAGGAAACGCCAAGCTAAATTTTACACAGCTTTGACTCCGGCCATCTCAACGCGTTTTATTTTTCCTGCATTATCAGAAAAATTACTTAGTTAACAACATTTTAGTGAATTGGTAAGAATTAATTCATATATGGCTACCACCATAAACTTTAGATACCAACATAGCTTTCCAGACAGTACACACCTGAATCATAATCATGACCCTTCTAATGTTTCATCAAGGCCTTCACTAAATTCACCAAAAATGTCTGGACATTCATCCCATTTTCCCTGCTTCCGTGTTTCCCAATATCCACCAACGTAGCGGAAAGGTCCATCTTCACCTTCTCTCTGGAACCATCTAGGTTTCCACCCATTTTCTTGTAGTTTCCTCGACTGTGCATTGAATATATTCAAAGATCACCATCAACATTAATAATCATACAATAATATTTTGGTTGCATCTTATGCCATCTCCATGTGAATATCCACATATTTATTCCAGTCTATACACTGAAAATATTAATAAACATTTTACGTTCAAAATCAAATGGATGAATCAAACAACTTTCTCAAACTGCTCTTCAAATCTTACAGAGCTCAGTAATTTATTGTAAAGGAGTCAAATGAGGGAAGAGGAAAACCATGCATTTTTTGTCATGTTGGAAGACGAAGTTGCTGAAGTCCCTTGAAACAAATTCCAATATTGACCAAAGAGTAGTAACTTCTTAAATACCAGAAATATAAAGTCTCACAACTTTATAGGGGAGGGACATGCAATCTATAAATGCCGGACTCCAACATGAAGGCTGTTTGATAGACAGGATTTACTCTAGTTGGTAAGTGACTTGAATCAGCATTTGGTTTGAATATGGTATGGTATGGTATTTGAATTTGATGACAAAGTATAGGGGTGCAATAAATTCTTAAATTGGAACATCATAGAAAAACCAAATACAAAGACCACGGCGAAAATATGAATAGCAGATTACCTTCCACACATACAACTTAAAACCGGCAAGAAGAATATCAGCCATTGAAGCTGGCATGTAGGAATTTCTGTGTGCATGTGACCAAAAAGATAGGGAAAGATGCCAAACATACCATTCTTTGCCTTTTCTCCAACCGCTGTTTCTCTGCATTTGCCTTTTCATATTCTCCATTCTCCAAATGCCGCTGGTCCGGCCTGAGCCTGGAATCCGTGGGTGGTAGCTTCTCCTTAATCCGTGATCAAATACCCAGGATCAGACAAAGCTATAAAAAACAATTAGAGATGCATAAGAGGAAAATGAAAATGCATATGAAACATTCGATGTAATCATGTCTACCTGCAGTCCAGGTGTTAGCTCGTTCAGTGTGATTGCGAAGGAAGTTAAGTTATACCGTGTGATGTTAGGAGGTTTACTACTTTTCCACAACAACGAAGCATCTGAAGGATTTGGCTTGCCACTGCCATCACCATTAACATAATGTATGCTTTCATCCCACTTCCCAAATAGCGTAGCAACCTTTTTCCCCATCACATCTTCCACAACTCCATGGACCTATGCGGATGTAGAGTTGCCATTAATCCAACAATTATGTTCAAACAAAAATTCTCATATTAAAGAAAGAAAATGGTTCTATCCTGAAGAGCATCACAATATATAGGCCCACATAGATGTGAGTTGATAAGGGCAGTGACAATGTTTCAACATTCTTTACAGCATATAAACATCATTCTCTACGCATATTAAAACATCATTCAGGGCCTACAAATACAAAATGCACCACTAACCTGGTGAGGATTTCGGTCAAGAATTGATTGCTCTTTGAACTTCAGTTTGCACGAATGCTGACGATTACCCCGTATATGCATTGTACCATGGTGATCGCAGTATACTTTACCAAGAATAAGATTATATATACTTGTTGTGACCTATTACAAGACATGAAGATGTTTAAGCATAATTGTAGGCTTGTAGCGTATATAAATAAAAGGCAAGAAAATGATTCCAATGAGCAGTCAGTTTGCTGCATAAACACAATTACACATCAAAGCACACCTTGCTCCACTGGAAAATTTCACCATCGTCAAACTCCAAGCTCAGAACTCCAACAGGGTCAAGCTGAATTGATCGCCCCCAAAATTTTGTGCGGATATTGCTATCAGCCCAGAACTTCCACCCTCTACCTTCACAGTGACAGGCAATGAGTGTTGGGTGGTGACTAACCTGTTTCAAGTAAAAATTTATTGACATATTTTGGATTGAGTAGGTTTGTATTTTTGGAAAAATAATACATTTATATAAAACCACTGTAAGAATATCAAGAAAAGTTATAGCCTTTGCTTGCCTATATCAAGTTCTTAAAAAACACTGACATTTGTTGAGTAATTTCCCTTTTCAATAGGCTAGGAAATATTAATAAACTTTCAAAGTCCTTTAAGTGAGAATATTTATGGTCCAAGTAGCATTTTATCTGTGATAAATAAGAACTGTAAACTCAGACATTATAGCTACCCCTTTTAACATGAGTGGCAATTTCATTTCCATTTTTTTTTGCTTCCTCCTTGGAGGACTTAAGCCCAAGCTAAGTTATCATATTTCTACTTTTCACTTCTCACAGTTTCTATGAAATGGTTCATTATTTGATGCGCTTTTCATTGTCAAAAACTTTGTATTGCAGTTTCTTTTCCAAAATTCAGGAGTCTTTTCAGAAGTTATATGCTTGTCACAAGTTGATTCATATCTCAACCTCAATTTTCAGTTATCCGGCCTTATTTTCAAGTAAAGTTCAATATACCAATTGCTCCTGTATTTTACTCCCTTACCTTTTCAGAGAAGAAGCGAATTCCTTTATCAGGATAGTCAGCTTCATAAGTTTCGCCTAACAAAGGATTGAATGGCTTGCAGTGCCGCCCTACAGATGATGCATATCCAGAAACCGCAAATGCAGCAACATTTAGAACCCTTTGGAGACTATTTCCCTGATAAGATAAACAAAGATAAGCATACACTATGACAGCAATTTATGATAATTTAAGAAGCCTCCTTAATCTTACCATCTTCCCATACTCATATGCCCGATCTAAAAGATACGAGTACTCCAAGTCCTCACAACACTTTTGAAGAGACGATATTGGCTCGTTAAAGTACACAGGGAGGCAAACTCGAGTGAGATCCTTTCCCACGTTGTCTTTGATCATAGACCAAAGGCTGACCCCTTTCTCCTTCTCAACTGGAATGGGAAGCTCTTTTCGCCTTTCAATGTGTGGGTATCTATAACCAGGAACTTCCTTCTCAGTTTGCATCTCCTCAACATTATCAAATTGACTTTGAGGCTCACGGTGCTTATTAGTGTTATTTACAACTCCTTTCATAGACCCACAACCTAAGTTTGGTTCAGTAAAATATTCTTTTGTGTCATGAAATGGCATTTCATCTTCATCTGACACTTCCTCAAGCTCTTGTTTCTCAATATCATCAGATGATTCAGTTGTGCTGCACTCTAAAAACCATAATAGATGTTACTACAAAATCGTACTTGCTATGAAGCATGATAAAAGATAATGCTCTGGGATAGCAGATATTTTGAGTATTTAAGCTTTGAAAGACAAAAAAGCTACAAAGTGAGAACAAAAAAATGATGATTTCCATTGACCATTATAGTCTTCATAATTATATTAGCCACTTTTTGTATCAAATGAAAAACAACAAGCAACAAAACTAACCATTCAAATGGGTAACCAGTTGGCATTATAAATCTTATCAACAATGCATGCATCATCAAGTCAATTCTAATGTTGAAGAGAGGTCGGCAAATTTTTTATTAAAGAATGGATCTTCAACGGATTAGTTTAAAACATAAGGGAATTTATAGTTCCACTCTAAGTGTAGTCAAACTCTAACAACATCTCATGGAGATCCTTAGTTTAGGCCTGACCCAATCAATTGTGTACTCAAGAATAACTACTTTTTTTGTTCAAGGAAAGTGTATTGTATTTAGAAATAGAAAATGAAAGAATATATAAGAAAGTGGATAGAGCTAACATAAACTGTGTACCACTATATTTTCCCTGTCCCAAACTGGAAAACTCATGCTTCGTCAATTGGTATTCACCATCATGAATCCCAGAGGCGTCAGCTTCATAATTAGCTGCCTGCATATGCAAAAGTAATAGGCTTAAATTTAATGCATAACGAATACAATTGTAACATAAAAAGATGGGAGGTCACTCGATAATGAACCATTATTAAAAAACCATTGTAATGCTTTCATATATATGGAACTGACAACCCAAATACCATAAAGAATAGGAATATCTTATGAGAATTGCATTCAAGAAACTCAAGACAATGCTCTAACAAATTACCTAAATGGGAAATGATTGAAGAAAAAAAAAGAAGCATCCAAAAGGATCATGACAATTTTGGTTATGACATCTCTCTCGCTCATAATATCGAAGTAGTTTATATTAAACAAAAGTTTAGAATGATTTAAGCCCAGCAGAGCTTGTTAATCAGTACCAGTCCTTGAAAAAAAAATCTGCTCTTGAAAGCTGGAATCAATCTTACTTGCATGTATTTGAGGTAGCCTAAGAATTTAAAAAATTGTTGTAAAGTCGGAAAGCATGTCAAAGCTTACTAATTTAATCTTTACATGTCCACTAATTAGTGTGTTCATATAGTAACGTTCTCTTGTTAGTGGGAAAGGAGTATATCTATCTGCCTAGCTTTGTTAGATTTCCTCCAATGCAATCTACAGAAATTCCACGGATCCCTCGGTGGATAAGTCCAACAACTCAGCAGCAGTGTGGACTTGGGTATCCTGTCTGGTGGATCTGATCAATTGTTAGTGACATGCTTATAGCTTTAAATGCTTTGTGCCATCGAGCTACCAAGATGAGCTTTACTGTTGATTGGCAGGTCCCACACTGTGGGATCCACTTCAGCCAACGCATACTGATGCTAGCTTTCTTCCTCAACTATATAGTTGAGGAAACGGAAATTATGATCCTTATGTGCTGTTAGACATAATAAATAAGTGCATTTAATGGCATGCATCTGTTCTATGAGGTATGCAATTCCACTGACCAGAAAAAGTAAAATCAAGTATAATGGTTTAATTGGTTGAGATATCGATTTCACAATAGGCAGTCAAGAAAAGTAACTATGAAATTTGCACAACCAAATTGAAAATATAGACTAAAAAGATAAGACAAAAATGCAGTCCTAAGGCGTGAGAAAATTCCTTCATAACAAGAACAAAGATTTAGTTCATTGGATTTCAGGAGTAACTTCCAACTTCCAATCAGGAGGAAGACTGTTTATTACTTCAAAGAACTAGGAGAACAAAAGGACTAAGATGGAAGTTGGAGCTGAGAGAAAAGGCAAGATGGTCTATGACTAGATATCATGTGCAACTTAAATTTAACTTTGGGAAAATGTAGTAAGAACTAGTTACCTCCAACTGCCGTAGTGTGTCGAGTAAATTGGATCGTTCTTCACAGAGAACCTTATACTGTCCTTGTATTTGAGAAAATTCAGAGAGCATTATCTGCTCGCAATCCTGTACAAGGTTCTCACCGGTTCCCTCTTCAAGTAGGCGTTTTTTCAGTCTTTCAGTCGAAATAGATAAATCAGTTTGTACAAGGGAGAGACTATCATTCAATGATCTAAGCGGAAATAGACTCCGAGTTGAGACCAAAGCTTGTAGCCAAGCTGCCCGATCACTCTTTGAATTAGTTCTTAAATGAAGGGTCTTTGTAGCAGTAAATATGTAAAACTTCCGATCATCAGACTTGCTTTCTCTGAAGGATGAGATCTGCTAAATAAAGAGAAAGAAACATGTCTTTAGATTACGCAAGAAACATGAAGTATTGACGTTCAATGTTCAAAACAAATACAAATTTCATTACAATAGCATTCATTCAAAGAGCACAAGTCAATGGTAAAGAAAAGAAAAAATATATATATCATCAATGCAGATAACATAAGGCCCTGAAAAGAAAAGCAGCTGATACCCAGAAAAGAATTCATTAGCCTGAACTCAGCCCATCCACCTTCATTCTTCAGCCCACCAGAAAATAACCCAGGTGAGAGAAAACCACTTCAAGCTCCTAATTAATGACACCAACAATGTAATGAAAACGAGATCATGCCATTTCCGTTTGAAAACCCAAAGCAGAAACTCTACCCAAATCTCCCCTTCGGTTTATCACTGTAGAGAAAAATCCTCATCATGGACTTTGTGCATATCCACTCATAATTATAAAACCCGGCTTTGAAAGGGACTAAGAATATGCTTAGAAGTTAAAATAAATTCTTTTTCCCGATTTAAAAAAAGTGGTTGCATACATCTCAACCTTGGAAAGGGCAAAAGCCACCTAATGGCCTCAAAGTCTTCACATTGTTAATATAAGCCACTGAAAATGAAACCCATTGTTCAACCTTCAAATATACAATAAAATAAAACATGAAAGCAACCCCTAACTTGTGAACTCAACCCACGCCAAGTCAAAAGGAAACAAACAAGTGACAACCAAAACCCAGCAAAACACAAAATCCCACTTCCATATTTCAGAAAAAAACACCATCCCCACCGTCCGATCACTGCTCTCTTTCAGTGTTTTCTTTATAAAAAAAAAAATGTTCTCAAAGTCACGTCTGCCCTTTGTATATCTGTTACGAAGGCCTTAAAAGTAAGTTTTTAAAAAAAAAACCAAACCTTGTTTTCTTCTCTTCTTTTGGGCGCTTTTTAAACTGAAATTACACTAGGATGGGACGTGAAATTTTGAGAAAGAAAAAAAAACTGAAGTGAATCAGAGAGCTGAACGCTCAAATGAGAGCTTGAATCCAACGAATAAAAATCCAGCACCGATGTGACCACGGGATAATACCTAGGCCTACGATGTATCCTATCAAGCCCATGCCCACCTGCTGATGTGACCCACTTCACACTAACAACCAGTTAAACTGTTAAAAAAACAGAGCACGAAACGTGAAAATTGAAATTGAAAATCACAAAACCCAGAAAAAGAGAGAAACCAAAACCCAGAACACGACGAACAATGCGACGAACCAACGGTTCATACCCAGTTCCCGCTCAGATAACAAAGCCTAGTTATATTTCTTGCAGATTCACAATCAGAACCCAAATTTTTTTAAAAATAAATTAAAAATTAAAAAAAAGAAACAGAGAGAGAGAGAGAGAGAGAACGGATAACGTTTTTGGTAAAATTTTGAATCAAGGTTTCTCCCCCATATTAGAAAGCGTTACTGAAATAGCGCCAAAAAGAGAGCTCCAGCATTTCGCGATTGCAACATTGTTGCTCTAAAACCGATCGCAGCGAATTACGAAGACGAAGACGAAAACAAAACGAACCGTTTCGGTGCATACATTTACCTTGAGGTGGACGATTCCAACAGTTTTTGGGGGCTTATTGTTCCGTCTCCCCGTGCCGCTGTCAATCCTCGAAAGGCGGTGAGTGGAGATCTCACCGATGAGTCGAACGTCGTCGTTTGGCGTCAAGAGGCTGAGCGTTTCGGGGCGCCGAATCTTGGCGTAGGAGAGGAAGCCGTTTCGGAGAAGAAACCACCTGGATCTCCAGCCCTTGCTGTAATTGGTCCACTTGTGGAGAACTCCGGCGACGGTGGTCTCAGATCCCGCCGGCCGGCCGGAGGCATTGGTATCAGATCCGAGCGGCCCCGTCGCCAGACTCGCCGGAAGGCTACGGGTCCGGGAGAGCGAGATCTCCGGCGACTGGTCGCCGAGTCCCGCGCTCTCCAGCGTGATGCAGCAGAGCGGGTGCATCTCCTTGACTCGCATTTCGGCCAACCAAAACGACGTCGCGAAAATCGCAATGCAAAAGGAAACGGAACGATTACAAGCGATAACCGTTCACCGATTGTTAATTCCCCATTCTTTCATGCGCTGAAGAGAAAACTGCAACAGACGAAGAAGAAGAAGATTAATAACAACAATTAATAAATATACGCAGCGTCAAGTTGCGTCAATCAAAATCGAAATTAATTACGAGAAATGAAAATGCAGGCATGCATATGTCGATCATCACCATCAAAAAAACGTGAAAATTGATTTTAGGCTACTGAAACTGAGAGAGAGAGAGAGAGAGAGAGAGAGAGAGAGAGAGAGAAGGCTCCTCTGCTTTCTCTCTCTATCTCTCGGTTAGAGACCGAACCTGGGGAGAGTGGAGAGCTCTGAAACTGAGAGAGATTCGGGAAGAGAGAGAGAGAGAGAGAGAGAGAGTGTGTGTGTGTGTGTGTGTGATTGTGTGTGTTTGAAAGAGTAGAGGATTATTATAATGAGGACCAAGAAGAGCTTCTTCTTCTTTTCTTTTCTTTTCTTTTCTTTTCTTTTCTTTTCTTTTTTCTTTTTTCTTTTTATTTATTTATTTATTATTTTTAATAATTATATTTGTTTAGCTTGGATTGATGGCAAAGTATTTATATAGAATAAGTTGGGAAGGGAAGGAGGGTTTGGTGTCTATATTTGGTGCGTATAAAGAGCAGTGGGTGTGAGACTGAGACTGAGAGTCCGTCTGAGACTGTGAGAGAGAGAGAAAGAGAAAGAGAGAGAGTAATTATGGTGGCAAAATAGTAATTAAATGCATCGGGAAACAGATTTCCAAGCTGGATTCTACTACTTACTTCTCCTTCTTCCTACTCTGTTTAATCCTCTTTTGCTTAGGACATAGAAGAAGAAGAGAGGGGGAGATCTTTCATTTCTCGCGAGATGGTTGCAAGTATATCGGAAAATTCTCGCGTGGACGGTGGACGGTGGATGTGGGATGTTGGCGTGGCCGCAATCGGGGGGGAAGGGAACTGAGAATTGGGAACCGGGAAATGGGAAATGGGAGGAACAGAAAATACAGATGCTGAAAGGGGTTGTTATTAATATCCATTTACTGTAGTAATTATCATCTTTTTCTTTTTTCTTTTTTTTTCAGAGATAAATGAAAATTATCAAGTTCGGTCAAAGTTTTTAGGCCCTACCTATCCTGTTTAATTACTCGCTGTTTATTAATATTTTTGGTAGCCCAAGTTCAGTGGTTTCCCTCCACATGGCATATTCCTATCCGACCCTTGGGAGATTTCTAAAGGGAAATAAAAAATGACACAAATATTGAAATAAATTATATAAATAATTATACTTGGGATTGGTTACAGATAAAAATTGGTAACTCTTTTTTATTTTATTTTTTTTCTTGGCCTCAAAGTTTCAAGAAAAGAAGGTTGCACAATATAATCCGAGGCTTTGATATGTATGATTTTAAGATCCGTAGAGGATATTCATCGTAGTTTATTTCATATTAAAAAGAATGATATAAACTGAGAATATTACAGAAAATATATTGGAAAAGGGGTTTGTTTTTATTTTGGTCAAAGAGGTAAACTTCGTTTGAGAAATGAAGTTAGGACAGAAATTGTTTGTTCCAATAAGAACAGTGGATTAAAGGCCAAAAAGAAACAAAAAGATTAGTACCTAACTGAGACATTATGATATGATTCATTCCATGATTTGATTCATTATCAATTTTCTCAATCTAACTTTCCTTTTTATCCCCAACTCACTGTGCGTTACTTTCCATCGATTGGATTACTCGAATGAACCAAAGAAAATAAATAAATGGCGTTAGAGAAAGACTTTTTTAAAGAGGCAAGTGGCACAAGAAAAAAATTGTATTCCATTTCTAAATTTATTTTTCTTCTTTTTAATACAAGCGATAGTCTAAACTATAATGATGTCGTGGGAATTCAAACCTGAGACTTCTGATATGCAAGTCAATGTCATTTTCTACTAGGTTAAATTTATTTATTAAATCAGAGACAATTGATTAAAAAGATAGCGAGATAGATTCATGTTGACATGTTCTATTCAAATCAGTTTCCCTAACTTTTAACCAATTTTTTTTCTTTAATTTTAATATATTGTTGTGAAGAATGTTATTGCACTATCGACCATAAACAGTTTACCATTGTTGAAACAACCAAATCAAATGAAGCCATCAGCGGAGGGATTCTAAAACTCAAATCCTATATGTTTAAAAAAAAAGTGTTGGAAAAAGGAGATAGAATAGAAAGACAAAGACACGTGAGAAGAAAAGAGTGAAAGAAATGTTAAAGAATTCAGAATAACCATAATGAAGACAAATGTATATCTTTAAGGGAAAAGACATTTCCTCAAACATATAAATCCTATTTCAATAACAAACTAATAGTTCCTTTTATTTATTTGATTAACTAGTAATACACTGGCGTACGTAGTAGTGTCACGTAATTTAGTAATATTTGATAAACCTAATATTATTGGAGAGCAAGGCTGGCCTCCTTAAAACTAATGAGATTTTGACACTTGTCAAATTTCGGCAACATTGACAAAATTTCAATAAAAAAGAATAAAATAAAATAAAAATTGACACGTGTCAAAAAACACATTGGTTGTAAAAAGGAGCTCCTTTGTAATTTTAAGGAGCCAAACTTTTTCCTACATCATACACATTCCTATAGTTATATATATAAGGACTACTTGCCTTCTTACCGGTAAGAAAATACTCATCCTTTCTGCGAATTACAATTTGATACATATGCAAAAATAATTCATCAAAAATATATTTTTTTTTATAAAAATTATCACACACGTCACACTGCTATTAAGAGCAAAAGGTTACATGATTCCATAATAATTGTAAAATATATTATTCTTGGTGTTAATTAGCCTGTTAATAGTTGGCTTGCATGGTCGTTAGATAGAAACCCATCAAGCAATCAAATCAAATCAAAGTTCAATCTAACTAATTAATGTAACTAATTAGTCTAACCATAATCAATGTGCCGTCTCTTTTACTCATTTTGATATGACCATTCCTTTGGTACGAGCCTATGCACCAAAACGATAAAGTAGCAAGACTAGCTTAGCTTGTCGATATAAGAAAAGATGAATAATGACTTCCACTTCACCCAAAAACAACAAAAAAGATGGTGACTTCCACAAATTCATTTTCGTAAACCTTGTACAAATTTACATTAGTCGTTTGACTTTACAAAAAAGAGTTGTAGATGTGACAAACTTAAAAAGAGTGATATAACTGTATTGTAATTTTCACTTTATATAATTAGTACCGCACGCTTGTTAGACTATGAATTAGAATCATTGTGGATAAGTACAGCAAAGATTTGAAGATATCATTCCACGTGGAATGCGATAAAAAGTTAACTTGAAGATCTCCTAAAGAGATTTGCATTACAAAAAAATTACTGTAGAACTAGGAAACCCTAACACTAGACTACGCGTGATTAACAATTCCTAATTAATCAACTGTCTACATATATATTTGTTAAATGATGTTAAACACAAATTTACTAACAAATCAATAGAGATTTGTGAATAGAACAGTAAAAGGGTGGGTCATGGGGGGGCCTTCAGAAGCAGCAATGGGTTGCCCATCTGGAACCCTCTTAGGCCTAGGAGGTTTTAGTCAATGACAGGTGCTGGATACAGCTATTAAAAGAAAGATTATTACTGTTCACTTTTCTTTAGGTTGATTATTCTTTCACAATCCTAGGAGCAGTGTAGGAAGCTTCAGTCCCCTGCCCATAGGAGCTGCTATTTCTATCAATTGCCAACCACGTTGATTTATTTCAAGAAATTGACACGAAGAAAGATAATGATAGACTAGGATCGAGACGTTTGGGACTGTTTTAAAAAAAAAGTATTTATGCTCATAGGCGTTTATGATAAAAGTATTTTTATTATAAAAATCTTGAATTTAAACGCTTTTATCGCTTTTAGCTATTTTAGAAGCACTCACAAACATGCATACTTGTATATTCGGGCACATGATTCAGTTTAACTTTCTATTTAATTTTCATCAATGAGTTTCTACTTTTGGCTGAGGAGAAAAAAAGAATTTATATCTTTCTTACCTTTCAATTAAAGTGACCAACAAATGATTTGAACATGCATGGCCGCAACTTGGTGTGGCAAATCCAAGAAGCGTGGCCGCAACTTTAGGTTGGTTTTGTCCACTCTGCTTCACACTTTTCTAGTTAGTTCTTTCAGTGTCATGCGTGTAGCTCCATGTAAGTTTATTTATTTACTTTTGATCAGAAATAGGGTGATTATAATTCTTAACTACCCACGATTAGCACTGTTGATTATATAATAAAATTATAATGATTACTGGCTTCTTTTATCACCCTCTCCATAATCATAGCATATGATTTAAACTCTAATAAACTTTTAAATGAAAAGATTTAGTAAAATATATATATATATACTTTTGTAAGTTTTTTAAGAACATAAAACCCCGAAACTTTCCATTGATTCATATTCTTCTTTTTATTTTATTAGCTATTAGATTTCCTGAATTGAAATTCTTGAGCAGTCTACTTCTGGTTGAATTATGAATTCTCTAACATATTAAAGCCAATGTGCAAGGGGTTTATAGTAATTAAGAACAGTTATTCCCGAAATTCTGAGTTCGAATTCCCATCATTTCATATCACTTGTATTAAAAAAATAAAAATAAAAATAAAAAAGAAGTCAATAAATCCTTTAAAATTCACAAGCGATTTAATTGTCTATATGAAATGTGTTGCATCCTGAAAAGGGGCCCATTGGCCTTGTACGTTGCTCTACCCACGCTGTAATGGTTATGTTTTGATAGTTACAAACCATGAACATTGAAACCAACGATGATATTTGTCTTGAATTCTTTTAATGTCTAAACCAATGTTTCTATAGATTGAATTGTCGTTTGGCATAGTCTAGTGAATCAAATCAAGATTAAAAAAAATAACAAGTTT